TGGAGCTCGGTCCAATCTTAGTCTCAGACTTGGTCAATGGTGTATGTCTAATGGAAGAAATACAAAGAGATTCACAGAGAGACCAGAGATGCAAAGAGTAAAGAAGACCCTCACATCAAGTCACAAGGTTCAGAAAGGACTTCCTTGCTTTCTAAACTCCTGATGGAGCTTAGGTGCTGCTTGGTCCAGTCTTAGTCTCAGACTTGGTCAATGGTTTATGTCTAAGGGATTATACATGCAAAGTTCATATAATGTTTCATTAGCATCACTTCAGCATGCAAAGTTACCAAGACAAAATCAAAGTTCCCATACTACCAGGTTATGCACGGTATCAGTCGCTTACCAAAGATCTGTCGTTGGTAAAAGGTCTCTCTGCCTCAAGGAACAACCTTGAGAGGTGTCCCAGCTCAAGGGGAGATCACCACCATGCAGCCACGCTGCCTAGCAGGGAGAGCTCAAAGGCAGCTCACTTAGGCTGTCATATTTATAGAATAAAGTGGTTGGCTGGTAGTCAAACCATATGCCATAGAAAAGGTATGCAGGAGGCTCCTTGTGCCCACAACTTTCTTTGTTCCTTGATAAATGAATCTTGGAAAAGCCACCCGCTATTCATGTGTTAATCGCATGATTGGTGTTCCAAGCTCATATGCATTGATGCTCACTGTGTCTCTCTGCTCCTTTGTGGGTTGTCAGAGAACAGATTGAAACTGGAGGAGTTCACGGCCCGGCTACGGCTCAGGCCTTTGCCTCTTCCGGAACCTGCACCAAACCACTGCCAGTCTGGTCAAGGGGTTGGGCGCATCCGCCACAGCAATATAAGCTTAGTTATGTGTTTCTCTGTAAGAAAGTAGAAATTGCTTCAGCCCGAGCATCCCACTGCAGCTACACGAACTAACTGTAAACCTGTTAGAGTGGCATTATAGTATTTAAAACTGACATTTAAAGTATTACCAGCAACAGGTGGTAAAACCAGTCAGAAATATTTGAAAGTATTTCCTAAGTGACATAATATTTAGACCATTTCTCAGTCCCCCAGATAACAGAGAATTTTTGAAATGCAGGACGTGTTATAAAGTGATGGAGAGCTACTGCCTATCAGTTTTACTTACTAACACTTCCTGAAAGTGAGGAGATGTGACAAAGCTTAGAAACAGGTATTTGTAATACAGTTTTTCCCTGCTGTAATAGCTTTCCAGAAATGCTGCATCTAACAACACGGATGTCTATTCCATGTGCTCTGGTTTTAGTAAGTTACTGAAAATTATTATCTTGAGGTTGATCAGTTACCATGCATACAAAAACACCCCTGTACACATACTGAAGACAGGCCACAAACTAGAACAAGACATTAACAGCACTTTTAATGTATCAATTTATTGCATATGTCAGTACATAAAAATAGAAAAGTGTTTTTTGTAAAATTAATTTAATTGTAAAAACCAGACTAGAATGAGAATGGAAAACTTTGCCACAATTAGCACATATACAGTAACATTTACGCTTTGTCTACAAAACGTATGAATACTTTATAAGACATTTTTACTTTAACTATATATTAAAGAAAAAACAAATAAAAAGCTTGCATCATATATTCAATGACTGTTTCTGAATTCAAAACACAAGTGTTATTTAGAACTTCAATACGCTATCTCTATTTACACTTCTGCAGGGTTCTACTCTAAATTATACAAGCAGGATGGCATTGTAAATTATTCTTAATGGGATACATCAGGCTGATCCCACTACATGCAAGAGGCACTGATTTTATATTTGGCAGAGGTGCCCCTAGCAAAATCACCTGTCATTAACAAAAATAAAAATGTACTTCTCAAGAATTGAATTATGAAATACAAATGGAGGTATGTCTGCATCTTTTTGCTAATAGAAGAGACCATACCTTGGACTCTCAATTCAGTCTTGCATTCTTCACTGTGAACATCCAACGTGATGCAAATGATTAGCTTAGAGATGCCGATGTGCATATTTTGTATAAATAGTTAATCCATCTGCCCTTCAACTGAGAGATTGTCCGTAGCCTACCAAATGTATTTGTGCTCTATTTCTAATTTTACCTGAGAAATGGACATGAGGGCAGCTACACCAGTTAACATTTCTTCAGATGAAAGCATAGCTTATCTCTCTGCATTTCACAGTTCAGAAACAAATACTGGGAATGTAAACTTGGGTTAGCAGGAAGCCTCAAGTATTTCCACTAATTAAAATCACACACACATGTGCACACGAGGTCTTATACTGGATGCTTCCTTACAAGGACTCTACTGCTACAGCTGTTCCAGTTCAACTCCTGACCCCCTATTCTTTTTTTTTTTTTTTTTAAAAAACTTGAAGTTCCTCTTAGAAAAGAGACAATTCCTTTAATGAGCATATTTAAACCAAGAGGCTTTCTTACAAACCTGTGAAAATAACTCCATTTCCTCTTCCGAAACTGGAAATTTATACATACAGGACAAATTACTTGGGAACCATCTATACACAAATGGAGAACAGTTAAGGGTAAATATATAATGGCATCAAGTGGAATAAATGCAACAGTATCATAATACGCCTTTTGGCAATTTAAAGTTATTACTACTATGTTGCTTGCAGTTCACTTAGAAGCAAGTAACTGTGGGTTTCCATCACACAGACCATGAAATAAAAACAAGTCTTGACTTGTCAGAACAAGTTTCTTCCCCCTTCTCCCTCCCTTAAGAGATCGTATGTACAACAGTGGGATATTTGCATAAAGAAACCATTTACTTCCTATTTTCTTTCAGTGGATTTCATAGTCAATGCAGTGAAAAATAGCATAGTAACAGACATTCATTCACAAGCGTATGCGTTCAACCCATTAAGGGAGAAGTAAAAACGTGCATACGTGGAAGAAACCACATTAAGTGTAAAAGATGCATACATGACAATTGTGTCTTCTCATACCCAATATCTGCAAAATCAGACAAAGTTTCATCTTTATGTCCTGCAGACAATATAGTGGAAAAGATATGGCTTGATAATCAAAAGTAATGTTTAGATACAGTCCACTTTGAACAGCTCCAGCTTGCCATGAACTAGCGCCACACCTTTGACTTTGACTTAGCAACTGTGTGCCGAAATAAGAAAACTTCATTTGTATGTAAGTGCCACATAATACTGGGGGTATTGTGGGTTGAGGTTTTTGTTTGTCTTTGATTGGCAGGAAGTGGGGTAAAGTCACATTACTTTAGAAACAGACATTTTATGAAAAAAATAATAGTATTTAATGGCAAGTTATGACAACTTCTGAAACAATTATTTACTTTCTCTTCATTCTGTCTCTAACAAGTAATCTATTCTTTTGGCTTTATCAGCTTATTTTTAGAAAAGCAGTATTTGCCCACTTATTTTCCTTCTCTCCCTCCACCTTAATTCTAAAGCAACGTGAAGTAGCTGAAACAATCTATGCAAGCAGCTCACATTGTCATTTTAGAATACATCAGGGAAAGGGAATGCTATGTCTGTTAACTCCCTTCTACTATCTAACGCACACCCCCTCAGCAAACTTCACCAATATACCTTCCCCACCTACCTCCCCCCAGAAAAACACCACCACTGGAAGGCTGAGGAGATAGTTTTGGTTTCACTCAGATTTAAAACTATGCTCTGTCTATAATGATTTTAGGTCTACAGATCTAAAAAGGTCTATAGCTTTTTCAATCAACTCTAAGAAAACCTTAATAATAGTATGACAAAAGATACTTACCAGAGAAAGCAGCAACTTCCAGTATGTGTATGTTAATTTAAAAATAAAAATAAATCACATTTAAGTAAAGAAAAGATGTATCACCCTATCTATAAATTGCTGACAACTATCACCCATGTATACATAAGACTGGTAATTCCACGTAATAAATTTTAGGAGGCATAACCATTAAGGCACCAGTTCAGGAAAGCAGTTTTATTCAACCAGAGAAGGTAAGCACAAGCTTAAAATACCACTGTCCATCAGGAAACAGATTTTAAGTGTGTGCTGAGATGCTTTTCTGAATCAGGACAACATGGCAGAAAAGTTTATTTAAAAATTTCAATCCGGAGGGCAATTGTACAGGTAGCGTGGAAGATCTTCCACAGTGTTCTTTCCATAAAAAATATTTTGAAGAGGCAAACTATCAGCTGCAGCAAATGAGAAATTAAACCTGCAGAAGAGATTTAAACAGCCCCACGCTGCAAGACAGACTGAGCTAAGAGTGTACAACTTCAATGACTACCTAGGATAAGGACTTCTAAAAACAAACAAACAAAAAGAAAGAACCCCAACATTCAGTCAGAATCAAATTCTCAATCAATGCTGCCTCTGAAATGGTGACACTAGCTTCAAAAAATCCCAGCAGAGCTAAAGAGAACTCACTTCTACTGATGCTTAGGCTACTTCCACATGGTACAAAGAACTCTAAGAGACTTTTTGCAAGCATATGGGTAAAAGTGTTAAAATAAGTGTCATCACTTTCAGACTAAGCTTAGGTCTACTAAATTTAATGCACTGCTCGTTTTTATTATCCTTACTGTAGCAACTGTAAACATTAATCTCTAATCATCTGATCACTGGTAATTGTTTGGATTTCTTTTGGAGGTATAAATAAAGGGCACAGACATTTAACTACACCAGCCCCCCTCCTCCCCCCCAAAAAAAACCCCAAAAAACCAAACAAAGACAAATACATACTTTTACCTTGTATGACACTCCTTTCTATCACACCACCCACTCTGCCTTGGGAAATCCCACCTCAAATGCACAAGCAGACTTAATACCAACAAATAGTTTGCCTGTATGTTAGTGAGGAGAGCTTGGGGCAGAAAGGAGCTTAGATCGCGCTGCTCTCTTTTAGAAGGTTACTTCTATTTTCTATGAAGAAATTGCCTGGGCAAAATCCTGAAGCCATGATGTTCAGGCACATACAACTTTCCAGGGACTACTATAGAACAAATAGTAAAATGAGAACAGGGAAAGTGTCTTTTCCTCTTCAGATACAGTTTGAAATATATAGGTATGCATAACCATAAAAAACAGTAATAACCAGGATAGTATACCTGCAAGTATACTCTACCATTAATGTTATATTATTTAGCATATTAAAGACTTCCCACCTTGCATAATATAAAATTTCAAGGAATAACACACTAGTCTCATGCATGGCACACTTTAAATAAACTCTAAAAGAAGCAACAAATCATTGTGCTAACCATGACTGTCCAAAAAGCTCGCACACATAGTAGTGAATACTGAAGAACCTCCCGTTGTTCTAAACTAATACATTCTGTACTACTTTTGTAGCAAGTTCCTTTAATAGCATCTGTTGTATATATCAAACAAATGGAATATATGGACAGAGATACCAAAAAAGTATGAGAAAGACATAAAATGGTTCATTTACAATGCTGCAAATGTAAAAGTTACCGGGAACAACTTAATAAAGCATCCGACCTTTCCAAGTTTAATTTCACTCTTTAGGCAAGTACAGACATGACATACATTTAAAAATGGACATTCTTTTACCACTTTTCACAAATCAAGGTACAGTGCAGGTACTCCCCCCACCCCAAAAAAGAATATCAATTATATTATTGTTACGTTAGATGATGTTTTCGCCATTTCTTCAGGGGAGTGACTCTTTATTACTTCTTTGATGAACTGTTCAAGTGCAGTGAAATAACCCTGGCACTGCCAAGTGTCATTATGAGTTCCATCAGGAAATATCGCCAATCTCTTAGTCCGAGCTGGGGATAATTCATAAAGTTGCTTCATCATAACTGGTGGAATTAACTGGTCAGACAACCCAGAGATGAAGAGAGAAGGCATTCTGCACTGAGAGATTTTTCTGTAGGACAGAAATTTATTTTTGTAGCACCATAAAGGAAGATACCTCATTGGAAAGAAAGAAAACAAAGTGCTGGCCATGTATGGGATGCTAAGAAAGGTGTTCTCCACCACGATGGCAGAAATCCTATGGGAATTTTCAGAAGCTAAGTGAATAGCTACTGCTCCCCCCAAGGAACGGCCAAAAAGAAAAATTTTTGTTTTATCAAGATCAGACCGTGTCATCACATAGTCTAACACAGCCTCAGAATCTAAGTACAAACCTTCTTCACTTGCTTCTCCTTCACTTTTTCCATACCCTCTATAATCGACAAGAATTAAGTTTACTTTCAGGTTTACCAGCATTAACAAAGCATTTGGCAACCTGTGGCCAATGTTGCCTGCGTTCCCATGAAAGTAAATGATGGTTGGAGAATACGCTGCATTGTCCCCTGTGTATCTCAGCAGAATAAGATTGAGAAGAACTCCATCTTTGGTTTTGATGAAGATATTTTCATGTGGTATACCAGTAGGCATAGGAACATAAAGGCGTGATGAAGAGGGCTGTTCAGGAAAGTAAAGCAGCACATCCTGGAATTTATATAATATACCCGCTATTGATACAAATATTAATATAAGTAGTATAATGCCTCCGTACAAGTGAAAAGTTACTATCAAGGGTAAAAGACAAATACGGCAGAGACTCCAAGACCAGGAAGCCAAAGCTAGTAGCCATCTCTTAACAAAGGTCCAAAGCATCCATGACTTTTCCATTGTAGAAGTCAGTGATCTTTTACTCCAAGTGAATCCTGTAAAAAAAAAAAAAAAAAAAAAAAAAAAAAAAAAAAAAAAAAACAAACCCAGACATATGTATAAATACAGGGGAAAGAAAAAGGAAGTGATTTAAGCATTCATACTTGCAGAAGATTAATGGCAAGTCAATACATTAAAGCATAAACATCAAACTTGGTGGCAAACTCCCTTTGAATTTTTGGAAACCATTCAACTCTGTAAAACAAGCAGAAAAGCAATCATAAGGAAAAGGCTTCAGAACTCTTAAAAATCCCGTTTACATTATTTCAGCAGGCAAGGTCCATCAGTAGCACTGGAAAACCGGTTGACTGGGACCATAATAAGCTGTGCTTTCCCTCAGTCTTCCCTACCTACCAACAGAACAACCATACAGACCAGTTAGTCAAAGCTTCTCACATAAGTAATTCTAGAATCCAGAGAACGCAAACAAAAATAGCCCTTATTTCTAAGTTGCTACTGATTGAGGCCAAGAAGAGCATTCAGTAAGCCTGTGCACTTCACTCTGCAACCAGTGGAGGCTCACAATGCATACCGGATCTGCTATAGTTTAGTGCCTGTCTTTCAGAATCCTGATCAACTGTGATTACAGAGCAACACGTGAACTAGTCAGAAGAAAGAGACTCCTCTATAGTAAGACACCACATTGTAGTTGCATTTAGGACAGCTGTTTTGCTATATTTGGATTCGTTCTGACTTATAATGATCGTTTTCCACTATCAGATCAGTAATCTATATTCAATCTTTAGCTGAATGAAAGATTGTATCATCATACAAGATGACTGAAAAGTCAGCTAACTACATTGTTCTCTGATCAATGAAAAGCACAACTGCTGAAAAGTCCAAACACGAAAACAGACTCATGACAAAAAAATACACACAGAATAAAACGAGGAGAGTGATGTTAATGATAATGAATTAAATCTTCTTTCCAGCTATAAGAGATAGTTATGTCTCACAGCATACACAGAATCTCTCACATTATTCACTGCTGGGTTCAAGTGTGTGGTGCGTTGACCCTGGCTGGATGCCAGGTAACCACCAAAGCCGCTCTATCACTCCCCTCCTCAGCTGGACAGGGGAGAGAAAATATAATGAAAGGCTCATGGGTTGAGATAAGGACAGGGAGAGATCACTCACCAATTACTGTCACAGGCAAAACAGACTGAACTTGGGGAAATTAGTTTAATTTATTACCAATCAAATCAGAGTAAGGTAATGAGAAAATAAAAACTAAATCTTAAAACACTTCCCACCACCCCTCCCTTCTTCCCGGGCTTAACCTTACTCCCGATTTTCTCTACCGATCCCCCAGCAGTGCAGGGGAATGGGGGTTGCGGTCAGTTCATCACACATTGTCTCTGCTGCTCCTTGCTCTTCCGGGGGAGGACTCCTCACACTCTTCCCCTGCTCCAGCATGGGGTCCCTCCCACAGGGGACAGTCCTCCATGAACTTCTCCAACTGGCTATGGCACTAGTGAGAAGGTAGCTGTGGTAGGTTAACCTTGGCTGGCTGCAAGATGCCCACCAAGCCGCTCTTTCACTCTCCCCTCTCAACAGGGCAGGAGGAGAAAATATGGTGAAAAAGCTTATGGGTCAAGATAAGAACAGGGTGATCACTCACCAATTACCATCATAGGGAAAACAGACTGACTTTATGAAATGAATTTAATTTATTGTCAATTAATAACAAAGTGGGATAGTGAGAAATAAAAACAAAACTACAAACACCTTCTCCCTCCCTTTTTCTTCCAAGGCTCAACTTCATTCCTGACTCTTCTACCTCCTCCTCCCCTGAGCAGTGCAGGGGGATGGACAATGGGGGATTGTGGTCCACAGATAGCACAGAGGCGCTACCAACATTGCTGATGGGTTCAGCTTTGGCCGGCTGCCGGTCCATCGGACCTAGGGGAAGCTTCTAGCAGCTTCTCACAGAAGCCGGCCCTGTAGCCCCCTCGCTATCAAAACCTTGCCACACAAACCGAGTACAAAGTGCAATATGGAAATAGGCAAAAACTGCCAAACCTACATAAGAACTACAGTAACCACTCAGCCGCCACTGAGTTGAATAACCATACCGCCTGGAAGTGACAACACAAGCTCGCTTGTTTAAGAACACTCTAAGTTACATAGCAGATAATAATTACAGTCTAGACACATTCAGAGTTATAACCTCCTAAAACAATGTAGTGCAGTAAGAAGCTGAATTAACTCCAAAGGAGTCTGACATGCAGGGACGCATCCAAGCATTCAACTAAGTCACAGGACCCCCACCAAAATAAGCTGTATGGCCTAATACTACTGGAGAGGACTGCAACTGCACCAGCCATCTTGGTATGATCAAGTGATAAAAGGTGACCTCTGCAGTCACAGCCTTTGCACTCCACAAATATGATAAGCACCCAATATGACCAGGAAAAACTGCCATCTCTAATTATTTTATGCAACAATTAGATACAAATGAGAAATAAAAATAAATCTGTTACATCTTAAGATTCACATATTAACCAAAGGCAACATGAAATTAAGCTTTTATATAGTGTATCTACTCCAAATATGTAAAACTGGTGAAATATAAAGTAGTCTAGACAGCAGTAGTCCCAAATTTGTGCTCTTACATTATTTATGAGCTCATGTTCAACATCCACATCCAAGTATGCACAAATATTGTCTATATGAAAATTTAATTCTTGTGATCCATTTCTCTAGTAAAGAAGTCACAGTAATTAGGAGACATGTGAAGTAGATACTTTAATTTGTAAGAGAACTGCCTAATGAAGTTGACAAACTTTTCCTGCATTACATTTCAAGACTATAAGAACATTGATAATGACAGTAAAAACACTCTCCTTATCTATGCTGTTCAGAATTTTGCTGAATTTCTTACAGAATGAAAGAGACTCCAAAAATGCTTCCTCAACAAAACATTCACAAAAAAGTAAGAGACCCACCATTAAAACCAACTACTAAAACCCAAAGAAGTTATAAAAATCTTATTTAAGGTGATTAAGTTTTGCAGATGGCTATCCCATATACACTAAGGATTGCTATTTGAAGATTGATAATCACAGCTCATAGCCACGTTAGTTTCATTTGTGCACTACTTCTATTTTCATTTCAGTAGGATATTATCATGAAAACGCTATACTACTGAGATACTGCTGCTGTGTGATTACTGCTGATATATACAGGAGTATACTCCTGGAGCTGCAAAACCAATGCATCCTACAACTAGAACTCAACATATGGTGGTTAGCAGGAAGGGTAAACTACACAGCCACAAACTTTTCATACTCACCTCCATATTTAAGTAAAGCTGACTACTCTGCACTAATGAACAACTATACGACTATTAAAGTTTTCTTCCCAGCTATGTGAAAATTCACTAGTTCTGTCCATTTCCAGGCTTGAATCAGACCATGTCTCTTACTTCACATCTTACAGCAAGATTTGTTAGCTAGAGAACCAAGATACAAGTTTCTCCTAGGTTCTTCCACACCTCCTTCCAATACCAATTGAAAGATTGCTAGAAAGGAAAATGATGGTTTCTCAAACAAGCACACAGGACTAGAAAAGACTCTAAACCAAGTCAATACAAGCTCATTCTCAACAAAGCTACAAACCATGCTTTCTATGGAGCCCAAAGGAGCAGGCCTTCCAAACATTATTTTGTTTGACCTGAACAGTAGAAGATGATACAAGCAGAACCAAATTTCCACTTAAAGGACATAAACAAAAAGGGTAAGCTAATATAGTAATTTTCAGTGAGTGATAAGGTGTTCCTCAACACTTTTTGAAGTGTATGAGGATTTGAGAGTGCTCAACATGCTGCAAGACCACACACACACACAAAATCTCTTCTTGGTCTTCATTTCCCATTACTGTTGTGCTGGATGGAAACAGTTTACAATATAACATCTTATGACGCAAAACCTCTATGTTGAATTATGAGGAGCACGTATTGCGATTTTCCTGTATCTCTAAATTTTGTGACTAATAGGATGCCAAAATAATTAGGAAAAGGCG